CAATTCTCGAACCGAGCTCTGATACCAAATGTTAGAAACAAAGTTTCTAACGGGTCTCTAGATCAGATCTAGAGATTGAGAATTTAGGGTTTATAGAATAGAATTGGGGATTTAGGGATTTGAGGAGAATTTGGGGAAGAATAGAAGAGAATCGGCCTAAACCTTTAGAGAGAAAGATAGACGAGGTTGAGAGAAGATTAGGGATTTGGGGAGATGACTTTTCTTATTTAATTTCTGCCTAATCTGACGAATGACCCAAAGTACATATATATAGGGAAATAATAGAAAACCCTAACAATAAACCTAATCCTACTAGAAAACTACTAACCATAATCAGAATTATCCTAATAATAAGCATAATAAATAATAGAGAAACCCTACAGAAATTGGTTTCTAACACTCAAGGGGAACCTCAACTCTGGGACCATCTTAGTCCCTACGGTCCATTTTCTAAACTCAAGAACGTGATCCCAACAGGTTGAGTAGTCGAGAGTGAAAGGGCCAAACAGAATATGATTATGGTTATCTACCAACTGTCAAAGCTCAGGATATCACCGCATCAGCAATGAAAAGGTTGGTTGTCAAGGACTTCTCTTTCTCAGTGTTTGATGCACAGGATGTTGTGCTATAGGTGACGAGAATCAGTCGTTGAGGACAGATGACGAGGATCATCCGATCATGGAAGCTTCCTTTATTGCCGCCAGCGCGAATTGGGGAAGTTGGGCGTGGGTTGATGGAGCTCGTAGGAACAGCTTCCAGGAATGGATGATAGGCATGTTGGGGTGGGCATTTGCCTAAAATTATTGCTGATGGAGTTATGGCTTCTGGGAAATACAATGACGATTAGGCACAAGAAAGGCCCAAGGGAGCTTCTAAGTCTAACTCAATTACATGTGCACGGGGAGTTAAGCTGGGACGATGCTTATTTGACTTATTATGGGCATGCAATAGACGCCGACTCTCCTTCACAAAACTGTCGACAATCAATACATCTCAATAACTTGAGTAGTTGAAATGTCTGAAGATCTCCCACATTGGGAGAAGAACTTCTCAGGAGCTGTAACTTTAGTCATCGGCACAACAGTAGGCCCAGGCATGCTGGGATTACCTGCTGCAACTATGAAAGCTGGTGCAGAACGCCCAACAATCGCCATTTTCTTTCTTCATAAAAAAAAAGGACAAACATGTGCTAGCTGTAATGTAATCTCCTCCATCATTCTCGTAGCTTAGCCAAGCTTTGATGCAATGTAATAGAATGGAGTTTCGGAGGTGAGCTTTACTGGCTTTGCAACGAGCATTAGGACGCTATATTGGTGCTTTGGTGGTACCTTTGCCCGACTGTCCTGGAGTATTTCTGCATTTTTGCCTGCTGTGCTTCCGACGGTGCTCACTTTTAAGGTTTCATGTGATATGTAAGATTGCTAGGAAAACCGTTTCCGAAGCTCGAAAGGCGGTTTTGTTAGGTGGTGCTGTTCCACTGGTCATGTTGCTGTCGTGGGACTTGCACGGAATAATAATGTGGCTGCATCGAACAGTGATCCCATCTAGCTCTTTCTTTCTGTCAATCCTTCTGCTCTACTGTGGGAAACACGATTTTTCTATATTATTATTATAATCATTATTAGGATAATTCTTATTATGGTTAGTAGTCATTTAATAGAATTAGGTTTATTGTTAGGGTTTTCTAGTATTTCCCTATATATATGTACTTTGGGTCATTCGTCATATTAAGCAAAAATTAATAAGAAAAGTCATCTCCCCAAATCCCTAATCTTCTCTCAATCTCGTCTATCTTTCTCTCTAAAGGCTTCGGCCATTCTACCTCTGTTCTTCCCCAAATTCTTTCCCAAATCCCTAATTCTATCTTCTCAATCTCTAAATTCCCAAATATCACCCAATCCAAATCCCGTTAGAAACTTTGTTTCTAACATCTGGTATCAGAGCCTGGTTTCGAGAATTGAGTTCACCACAACTCTCAACCGGGGACGAGTTCTACAACTGGTTCGACGATGAGCTCTTCCAAGCTCTCGAACCTGTCGTGGGCAGAACTGCGTGACCGGGCTCGCCGCATCGGCCGTCGTTGGAGCTCCGAGGAGCTGCCGACTGGGAATGCCACCACCGCAGAAGAGCCACCGTCGATTGTGCAGGTTGACTCAGACGGTGATCTTGAGAGGCGAGCAGAGCAACCGGGAATGAAAGTGGTTTTGGCAATCGAGCCGCTAGCCACGACAGAGTCTCCAACAACGAAAGAAGCGCCATCACCGTTGTCCCGATCAAGCACCGCCGAGGGCATTCCTATGACCATCATCGCAAATATTCCTTCCAGCTCAACTAAGAAGCTCGCCAGAAATACGACTGCGGTGATGATTCCACCTTCTGCGACAAGAGCTCCAACCGCCGGGATGCTGAAAGAGAAGACCACGAGGGCACGATTGCCGGGGCTCCGCAGCGGTCCTGAGCGACGACGCAAGACAGAGGCGCCAGACGAAGAAGATCCGGCAACATTAGCCGCAGCCACTCCACGCTGCCAGTCGATCTGTCTGCCGTCGAAGAAGAAGCCACCAGAGGTGAAGACGATGGCGGGTGGCGCGACAAGGGCAGGCTCCGTTTCGCCGTCGACCGACGAGGATGAGGTGGCGAAGAAAGATGGCTGGGAGCTTCCTCGCGCGTCGCCGAAGAGGGAGAAGAAGACCGAGGGCGAGGATGACGACGGCGGGCCTCTCTACGCGCCGAGGAAGAAGAAGAAGAAGAAGAGATTCGCCATGGGGGTGAATCCAGGGGCAGAGCCCGGAGCCAGAAGCGGCAGCGGACGTGACGCGGAGGTGCCGGAGCTGCGAATCGCGCACGAAACGCAGCGATTGGCGGCGATCTCCGTCGCGTCGTTGAGGGAAAGGAAGGAGAACTCAAAGGTGAAGCCGGGGAAGGATGCGCCGTCGAGGATGAAACGGCGAACAGATGGGGCCTTCCGCCGGAAGAGCAGTTCGTCGGCGGAGGCGAGGGGAAACCCGCTGAAGCCGAGGTCGACTTCTCGTCGCCTGGCTCGGTGTTTGCCGCCGGGAATGATGTCGGAGTTGAAGACAGCAGCCGGGTCGGGTGGTTCGCCGCCGAGAGATGAGGAGGCGGAGAAAGCGGCGTCGAAGAAGAAGGAGGGCGGCGGCCGCGACCCTCTGCCTCTCGTGAACCCTAGGCGGCAGCTACAGGTGGAGTTGGGCCGAGAAACCTTGGGCCGCACTTCTGATCGGGCTGTCAGTCCGAGTGGGTTAATTGGTGTGGGCTGTGGGCTTGACTGGGATCAACCGAGCGGGCCAAAGAAGGAGATTGAGCCGACCGGGCCAAGTTCTGGTTATGAGCCAAGCAAGAAAGATACAAGTTGTGCTGAAGGAAGGAATGGGCCGCATTTTCAGGAAGGTTGTGGGCCTAAGCTGGGCTGTTTCTTAAGGTCTCTTTTGTATGGTTTTGGGCCGAAAATAGATGAGAATGGGCCTGGGTGGCAGGAAAGGCTTAAGCCCAACGTGGGCTATGATTTAAGGATGGAAGAATGGAAAGGAGAGTTTATGTGCTTGGTTGGTGGGCTTTCAAAGAAACAAGACCCACAAGCAATAAGAGAAATAACAAAGAAAGTGATTGGGCTAACTCCAAAGAAAATGTTTAAGGGTCTTGAAGAGTTGGTACTCAAGGACAAGTTCTTGTACAATAAAGTACCCTTAGAGTCCCTAAGAGACGAGAGTTGGAGAAAGGAGGAGCTGTTGTTAGAATTTGTCATGGATGCAATTAGTGGGCCCATTGAAGAGAAGATCGAAGAGTTAAATCAGCATGAGAAGATCGGTGTGCGAAGCCCAATTCAAAAGATGGAGCATGATTGGAAGAAAAGGAAGCGGAGAAGCGACGATTGGATTAGGCGGGAAGGTTGGAAGAAATGGGTCAAGTCGGTCAACCTTGAGGACAAGGTTGGTCTGAAGGGGGAGGAGATGTGGGAAACACGATTTTTCTATATTATTATTATAATCATTATTAGGATAATTCTTATTATGGTTAGTAGTCATTTAATAGAATTAGGTTTATTGTTAGGGTTTTCTAGTATTTCCCTATATATATGTACTTTGGGTCATTCGTCATATTAAGCAAAAATTAATAAGAAAAGTCATCTCCCCAAATCCCTAATCTTCTCTCAATCTCGTCTATCTTTCTCTCTAAAGGCTTCGGCCATTCTACCTCTGTTCTTCCCCAAATTCTTTCCCAAATCCCTAATTCTATCTTCTCAATCCCTAAATTCCCAAATATCACCCAATTCAAATCCCGTTAGAAACTTTGTTTCTAACATCTACCTCCTGTTCAAGGATTTGCCTTCTCTGCTCTTTAATAGGTTATGCTCTTAACTTCCCTTGATACTTTGGACCTGATATTAGGGAAATCAAATACTGAAAAAAGGAGCTAGCTTTACTTCTAAAACTCATCAGTACCTGAGATGGGAAATGGACATGCAAGTGTAGTAGTTTTTGCTGGTGTGCACAGTTAAGGAAACCCTGGCAGGCTACTTTTCAACAGATCAATTTCTCCTGGAGACCAAGCTGAAGAATTTGCTGCTGCATCACAGAAGAATTTGGTCATGGTAATGATTCTTGTGAGTTCCCAGTATCATTGAATCCATTCAGCAATCCAGCAAAAGAACAGCATTCCTCTACTAGGTGGATGGAATATTTGCACCTCTCTTCTTTAACATAGAAGGTTTGACTTTTCAACCCAACAAAAAAAAAAAAACGGTTTGACTCGCAAAACTCTGATGTTTGCTTCAGTGATCACCCACCATGTTAATTCTTTACCTGTTGCACATTAGTATTTATTTAGCAGTAGGCATAAATCAGGCACCAAATACAGCATTAAATTTCAACCCTCAGGAATTGATCAAGATGTAATGACAGATAAAAAATTCCAACCAACCTGGGGGTTGAAGTCACTAAAATCAAACCTGTCTAGATCAATCGATCTGCATGTCCAATGGATCATATCGCACTCTGGCCAGGAAGTTTTATGGCATTTCTCTGGTGCATCAATTTTCTAAACTTTTCAGCATCACCAAACCTCCCAGCACCCACAAATATGTTATGCATCAGCACGTAGTCACCTCCATATCCTCTCTCCATCTCCATTATCTTCCTTGTCACCCTTTCAGCCATCTCAACATTATCATGAAAGCTACAAGCTCCTAGAAGCGTTCTCCAAACCACGACATTTGCAATCTCTGTCGGTATCCCCAATGCCAAATTTTCTGCTTCTTCTAATCTGCCCAGCCTAGCCAGCATGTCTACTAAACATCCATAATGCTTGATATCAGGCAAAATTTGATACTCATTTACCATCTTTTCTAAGAACTTGAGTCCCTGATCCACTAGTCCTCCATGACTGCACGCATTAAAAACACTCAAGAATGTCACCCGATTAGGTTTCCAACCCGCTTTCTCCATTCTATCAAATCTTTCCACAGCTTCCTCCCCGAACCCGTGCATTGCCAGCCCAGTTATAATGGTTGTCCATGATACCAAATTCTTCCTCTCCATCAAGTCCTCAAAAAACCTGGAAGCACTCTCTATGCACCCACATTTCGCGTAAGTATCTATGACCGAGTTAGCAACCCGTATGTCAAACGCAATCAACCCTCTTTTCTCCGCATAACAATGAACCAACCTGCAAACCCTCATGTCTTTCAAACCTGAAACAGCCGGCATTAAGGCAAGAATGGTAATCTCACTTGGCTTCATATTCTCGCAACAAACCATCCTCTGAAACAAACTCAAACCTTCTCCAAACCTCCCGATACGCACATGCCCATCAATCATCCCGGTCCACGTCACAACATTCTTCTCCGGCATCTCATCAAACAGAGACCGAGCATATTCCAGCTCACCCCACCTCACCAATCCCGTTATCAAAACATTCCAACTAACCGAATTTCTGTCAGGCATTTCATCGAACACCTGCAGCGCGTCAGACAAAACACCTGCAGCCGCATACATGTTCAACGCCGCGGTCTGGACGTAGACGTGAGAATGAAACCCGGCTTTAATTCCGCGACCCTGGAACTGGGTTCCGATGGGGAGAGAAGAAGCGTGAGTGGCGGCGTTAATGAGGAAAGTGTATGAGAAGCTGTCGAATGAAGGAAGCTGTAGAGACGATGAGGAGGAGGAATGGAAGCAGTACAGCGACTGGAGTTGGTTGTAGAGGGAGAAAGCTTTCTGCGGGGAGCCACCGAGGGAGTAAGATCGAAGCAGAGTGTTGAAAAGGCGGATTGAACGGATTAAGTGGCCGGTTGTAAGCAGCAGAGAGTGAGTTTGTTGCGTGATGGCGCCAAGGTTGGAGGATGCTGCGTTTGTGAGTAGCGAGTACAAAAACCGCTCCATAGAAATGACCAACTGTTCGCTGAACGTGTAATCTATCGATCTAATTTTTTTGACTCTCGTAATCGTGCTCAATTCTTCGTGAAAAATGCTCATATGAGTTAGAATCGGATTATTTATCGTCATTTGGAAGTTACAGGGACTCACTCACCAATCAGCGAGTCAGGGCCTAGAGCGAAGAGCTCGGTTAGGGGGCTCGGTGAGCAAGGTTCCCACTATATATAGACTAATACACGTATTGGATTTCTGCTCTAGGTTTGGTTTATATAATTTTATTCTTTACCAAATTAGATTAGGAATTTAAGATTACACCGTTTGGAGAATTACTATATATACTTATCATAGAGATGTGAAGAATATACAAACTACTGAAACTAGAAAGAGATGAAGAACTTTAGATCATCTTTTTCTCCTTTGATTGTACTTTTATCCTTGTTTGTTGAATGAATTCTTCCTTATTAAACTCCACCAAGGTCGTGTCTCTCACTAAAACTGCCCAAAAACCATATTTTCACACTATAATGCTGCTTTCCTATAGGAATTAGGGTATCTTCAAATTTATAGGCGACCAGAAACATGGACATGATCGCGGCCTCATGTTGTGAGATCACAGTCGCGATCTTCCTTCCCAATACACGATCTACAAACAATTTTTTGTTGTTGTTGTTGTTGTGCTGGAGCTAAGTTCCCGGCTTCCAGATCACGATCACGAACTAAAAGTCACGACTGCGAACTTTATCGCGGGCTCGAGTGCGAAGGACCACGAAATGGACCACGACTCCTTCTGTTTCTTATTGTGCGTGGCCTCCTTGAGATCACGACTTAGCGATCTTGTGTGTGGCTCGTTATCTGTTCGCGGCCGAAGGAATCTCGGTCGTGATCTGATGCTCCTTGGCTATGAACTTATGTTTTGCCTCTTTTTACCCTTTTATTCCTACACGTGAATCCTCTTTCTTTGCCAAAATAGTTTGTATTCCCCGATGCTACTTAAAAGATCATGGATATGATGAAGGAAAACAATTCTAAGAACGAAGAATTAAATAAATCAATACACTCAATATGGCATGAAAACACATTCCCCAACACTTAAGTCTCCCTAACCTCTCCCCTCGATTTGTTTTTAGGAGAAGGGTCACTAGTAACTAGAAATGCTTAATTTTTTTACCAATGTTCGACTCAATAAAGATGTTCTAAAATGATCAGACATAGGTGTAAAGTGTCAGATCAATTGGACAATATTCTCTTCGAGTTAGGGATGTGTTTGATGACATGTCAACCAAAGAGACCACGAAATGACTCAAAACAACCTTAAATATGAGGGTTAAATAACACAATTTTGGGTGTTATCATTTCCCCCACACTTAGGTGCTTGCTTGTCTCCAAGCAAACCTACTCGAACTAGTAAAACTTGGTAAACAATTAATATGGTATGCACTATAGTTCTTCATTGCACTAGTTCGAATAGTCTGGGTCAAGTGAACGTTAGACCCATCTTACTGTGAAAACACAAACTCCTAGATGACGGCCATGCCAAATAAATATGTTTAGACATTCAAGGTATGCGCCGAGGGCTGTCAAAAACAATGGACTCTTTGAAGGTTATCTTTATTCTTTCTTTTCAATGTAGAAGTCAAATTTTGAATATCCTTTTTAAACATTACCGAACTTGGCACCAAACATTAGCAATTTTGCAAATAGGCATCTCTCGTTCGTGACCAATCTATGCACAATCACATGTAACAATCTATTCTTCGCTATCTTTATACCTGAAAATATGCACAATCACATGTAGTAGTGAAAAACTGGAAGAGTTTGAAGAAGACAAATCAACCTATCTACAAAATAGAATTCCTTGGACAATCATATTTCTATTGATCCCGACATAGATAAAAAAATAAATATCATATAGTCTCTATAAAGAGCTAAAATTCCCAAGTGAACTAGGTAGATGTTGAATTTTTCATTTGTAGTTGGATTAAAGTAAAAAAAAAAATGAAAAGGAGTGGGTGTACGGTTGTTATGGATCGAACTTGTTTACTTCAAGCTAAAAATTAGCTTAGCTACCAGTAGACCACATGACTATTCATGACACTATGTATAGGCCGAGTACTACTTATTCAAATTTTATCTAAATATCCTTACGGTCCTAGGGGCCGAGACTATTCCCGGGTGGGCTGGGGCCCACCCTACCCTCTAAGTAGCTCCGCCCCTGCTCATACAAGATTTTTAACCAACTTAGAAGGATGGCAAGGATGAAGAGAGCATGTAAACCGCAATTGCTATTGAGAGGTGGATTTAAGGACATGCAATGTAGGCATTTGGTTCACTTGAGCATTTCATCGAACACCACGAGAGCTTGAAATTAAAATGTGGAATTAATATTGGAATGGGGATTAAATTTACCTCTCATACACATCCCCAATCACAATAAACTACCAAACCAAGTATTAGAAGAATTTAAGCAATATACATAACAAGGAAGCATATTCAAATCATGGTAAAGGAGATTTCAAGAGTTCTCACTCTCTCCCTCGAAGTTGGGATGAGCTTGCTAACCTCAAATGAAATGAAGTGAAAGTGAAATCCGCTTGAAGTGATATTCTAATGCATAAATCGTTCCCTTGGGTGGCATGTCAAGGTTTGGGATGCTATGCATACATAAGAGATGGAAGGTAGGGAAAATGAAGAATGCACAAGCTAGTCAAGGCTGGGTATTTAAAACCCATGAATGGTCAAGATTGCGGGCTAGCACCGCTAGATCGCAGCCGCAAACTTGACAACCACAATCGCGATCTTTGACTGCCGTGAATCTAAACTTCCAAGAATTTACATGCATAAGGGTATAAAACTTCCTATACTAACTGGGGATTCTACGAGAGATATATATATATGAAAAGAGAAAGGATATAAAATCAAATCAAAACGTTGGCATACCTCCCAACAAGTGCGTCTTTAAGGCCTTATCGTCGTACTATCCAAGATGGTTGACTAGGTGGTAGTGCCTCCAAGTTTGTCGTCGGTGTCATCATATATACGCACTCTTGTGGTGGAGTCTGAGGTGTAGATCATGTAGTCTTCCGCTACCTTCCTCCTTCGATGGGTTGAAGGGTAATCTTCTTACATCGTTGTACTCCTTGGAAGTGATCATAGATGATTTTACTTAAGAAAGGGTAGTTGTAACCTCGTTAGATGCTTCCTTTAGATCTAGCTTGGACATCTTGCTCCCTTTTTTGGATGTCACACTACGTGCATGCTTGATTGGTAAAGGGCCCACATCAAGAGAGGGTACACCTATAGAAACTCGAATTTCCTGTGGCGATGTCCTCGCATAGGGTGCGAGTGTTGGAGAAAATCCTTGTCCATCAATAGAGAGGGTGATAAATAACTGTTCATCACCAAATTCCATGATGACCCTTCTTTTTGAGACTTCGATCACAGCACTAGAGATTTGCTAGAAAAGTCTTCCCGAGAAGGATGTGGGTTGTCTCTTCTTCTTCGATGTCTACTACCATGATATTCACCGGGTATGTGAAAGATCCAACTCTCACCATGAGGTTTTTGATAATTTCCATAGGGTAGACTATGGTTCGATCAGCCAATTGCATTGCCATATTCGTTGGCCTTAGCTCTTGCAATCTCAATTCCTTATATAACTTGAGACTCATCATACTAAGGTCGCTGAAGAGATTGACTATGAAATCTTTTATTATGACTCCTCGAATGGAGCATGGTATAAAAAATAGGCATGGTCGTCCCTTTTAACTGGAGTCTCATGTCGAGTAAAAACAAGGTATGTAGGCCAATTTCTGTAATTGGGGGTTTGTCGAATTTCCATTTAGTATACACTAAGTGCTCAAGGCGCTCGGTGTATTCGGAAATTTTAGAGCCTTTACTCATGGAAGGAAAGGTACATAAGTGCTACCTCTTGAGCTACACTCGGATCAACATCTATTTGATTCGACACAATTGTCAACTCACTCTTGATGGCTTTACTCGGTGCCTAAATTGTCACCTCATGGTGTCCCCTTCTAATTTCTTGAGAACCTTGTTCTTTCCTTTTATCGGTTATGATCTTTTCCGAAGCTCCAAGGGAGGATGACATTGGAAGATAAATGCAAAATCTCTAGAAGTTCTATGTCGTGTGAAGTTCAAAGTACAGTTCGATGTAGAGTGTCAGTGGATCGGGATCTCCATAATGGACTGGATATGTTGAAATTTGGTTGGTAGATAGTTTGTTTATACAATTGTGATTTCGATTTGACAACCATTATTATTATAAACTAATAATATCAATATAAAATCATACTTTTAACTATATATAATATACAATACTATAAATCCTTAAAATATGAATTATATAATTAATTTTATATCTCTTACTTTAATATTTAAAATATTCAAAATATCACTATTTTGTCTGCAAATGGAAATACTACCATCGTATTCTATGAAGACAAGGCCAATAGCCCATTAAAGGTACATTAATACTGTATTTTGTTCAATAATTGAATAAATAGTGTTGTGAAATTGTTAGAATCAGAGACAGAACTCAGAAGTACAAAATATAATGTAATTGATTCACAACAATAGTATATAGCATGAGAGAATAACATAATTGGGTATTGTGTCATCATGTAATTGGCTTTATCCTCTCTCTACCTATACTTATACAGACATGTCTGGAGCAATCATATCAACGGAGAATGTAGAGAATAGGGAGATTTCTCCAGGCAGGTGGGCTTTTTGGACTGACTCACATCTCCCGTAAGTCATGATGAATATGTCATCATATGATTAATTAATATGTTAATCATACAACAACAAAAAAAAGTGGTGGGTTATTTCTTTTAAGACTTATATTAGTCAGTGTCAAGTATATAAATACAAAGGTGGGAAATTTCTAGTAACATACATGGAATAATTGACTTTTTGATGCAATCTCAAAACCTAATCTCATCACCTTCTTGACAAAATCGTGTGCTTTAAGTCTAGTTTTAGGCATG